AAGATGCCACCTGAAGAAGTGGAGTTGAAAAAAGTTCGACGCCTGGAGTACTGCGAAGCATTTTGCTTGCTTCTAACTCTGCTAGCATTTGCTGATGTTTATTCGCGGATCGGTGAGTTGGAGCTCAGTTGTTGGAAGGAAGGAAGTGAAAACGGCCGACGAGTGCGCCGAGCAGCAGCACCTCCACCACCATTCCGAACAATGCTAAATGCGTCGAAAAGCGATGTTTTAATGAGCTCGTTATCCAAAATTAAGGTGATTTCTTCTGCTCACTGGTATAAATTAAGTGAGATGTAAAATAGAGTGAAGATCCAAATTTTAGGAGACAAAATGGAATGAGGCTAAATTTGCTCATCTTCTTTAATAAAGTCAAAACCCAGTCCGATTGATTCTTTCTGAAAAGCCGGCAGACAGGGGGAGGGGGAGAGGAGGGACTGCCGGCTTTTCAAAAAGAGTCAGTCGGACTGGGTTTTGACTTTATCCCCCCTGTCTGCCGGCTTTTTCGGACTGGGTTACTCGGAAGTATTTCAAGGGTAGTAAATGATAACAACGATAACTGCTGGCAAGATAGTCAGTAATTTCGTATCTCCTTGAGGGCTACTTAGAAGCAAGCTGATGACTAATTTGTCTCCTGGCAGGGCTAGTACCAGTCCACCATGAAAACAAATGAAGGAATCGAAGAAATATTGATTGGACCAACGATATAGTTGAATCCCCAATCTTCCGATCTTTTACACAAGTGATACTTCCCATTGAACCAGTGAATCCGGTGGAAATTTTGTTGTTTGGCATTCCGACCTTAGTAAAATTTTGCTCAACTGACAGTCATAGGTAAGTAATATCCAATTTGAATGAAAACAGCAATCAATTTGTGACAAATTTCAAAGTTCCAGGTACAAATTTAGGGAGTGCAGGTTCATACTGAATAACAGTCAGCCAAATCTATTAGTGTTTTGCACAAATTTTGAGCTTTTCTAGTGCTCATTCACCCCGCTTTTTCCAAGTCTGCCAAAATTAATAGGCGCTTGGTGAACTGTCATAGTGCCGTAAAAAAAAAAAAAAAACGCCAAACAAGGAACTATTTATTACCTGGCTAATAAAAGGAAGGATGACTGCGAAATTTTGAATCTATAAAATTAACCAATTGAACTGGAAGCCGGGCTTGTTACAGGCTAATGAAATGTTAGCAAAGTGCTTGGAAATACATCAGTACTGTACGGATCAGGCAGGCACTGAACGAGGGCCACCGGGACCAATTGGGCCACCCGGACCACCAGGGTTAGTTACTCAGTTATGCTAAAGTAAAAAGCCATCCTCTTCTCCTCTCCCACTCTGTCCTCAAATAATCACTGCCTGTGATAAACTATGGTAATTGAATTATGTGACAATGATTTACCGACAAATTTTGAGAAGGCTAATTAAAACTAGGTACCGAGACGCACAAAAATATCGTAATTTACTTTTTAGATATCGTTTTTCATCGAATGCAAGCATATGAACAAATGGGCTGAAAAGCACCGGGCTTGCCGGCACGAAAATATGTTTTTGCACTAGACTTGAAGCAGTCAGGTCGTTAACTGTATGAATGGTCGTTACTTTACATTTGTCCCCACAGTTTCGGAAGAACACTCTCCTCACACAAAAATTTTTCAGCACGTGTCTTGGTTCGGTCATAAGCGGGTTCAGAGCGATCTCCTGCTGGGGCGATTTAGGCGATTTTTCTTCCTATATCGCAAGCCCCCAACCTTCTCCTTGACCACCACACTGCTCCCTACTGGCTGGTCCAGCTGCAACCTCCCCCTCCCCACTCGCGACGTCTCCCTTGCACCCCCTCCTCCTGTCGTCGCTATGTTATTGCAGCCTTCTAACTTTTCAGTTTCCCGAGTTAGCAACTTACCCGAAAAAGGTTTTGGCGCGCATGTACGTGGGTAGTACGCATACCCGAAGCCTGGGTTTGAGCTCAATGAGACTTGGATGGACGGGAAATATCCTCTTAAAATTACAAAATTCTAGCTTTTCTGATTCCCGAGTTAGCGACTTACTCGCAAAAAACTTTCACGGTACGTGAGTACCACGCAGGTAAGACCGCCCATTTTGGAGGTGGGGGCCCGTACTTGCATGTGGATTAAATTCGCAAAGTTTCAACCCTGTAGCTTTTGTAGGTTCCGAAATGAAAAATCAGTACAGAGGCCCAGCGCACATACAGACACGCACACACATACAGACATATACACACACACACACAGACAACCTCTCGTCGATATGCGTTTTCTGCATTGCATAGCTGCAAAAAAAACACAAAAAATAAAATTATAAAGCGTTCACGACTCGCAAATCTGCATGCAGGACCATTCTGTATGTATTACCAAATGAATTTGTTAAATAAATCCTACTAAGGATAAGGGACGAGCCACGATTGCTAATGCCCGCATGGGGAAGCGAAATTACTTAAATTTGCAGAATTGAAAAATTTCATTTGCTGAAAGAATGGTGATAGGACCAGATCATTAAATTTTTTTCAGCAATCCTGGTGTGCCTGGACCACCGGGACGAGATGGTCTGATGGGTATGCCGGGACCACCGGGTCCAGAAGGTGACATTTTTTTTGTTTAGGGAAATTTGCGCTGGTTGAAAATTGTACATCTTCCCATAGAATTTCGAAAGTGCTAGCACATTTTTTTTTTGAGCCATGAAGGTTTCCTTGGACATTCTGCAAATTGCTCATCATCCTTTAAATTACAGGATTCGCTGTGATCCATAATATATGAGTAACATCTGCAAATAAATTTTGGACCAAAAAACTCAGAATTTTTTAATTTTTGTAAAACCGTTTTTGGTCAGCTGAAGCTTCTCGCAAAGATCTTTATGATGATATTTTTGGTTGTATTCAAGCCAGTACTGGGA